GGGGGGGGGGGGGACAGGCAGAGTTTCTCATTCGATGTGTAGCTGACCGTCCACTCTTAAGTCAAATTGCTGAAATTTTGTTGGCATCACTGTGCATTGGGTCCAGAGGGTGGATTTATACCGTAATTTATACCCTATACCCTAAACCCTAAGCCCTAAGCCTACCATTTGCAGTTCCGTGCTGCAAAAAAGGCTAAGGACCTACTGCCTAAGAGCTCGACTGGGCTCCAGCGGCCTAGGTTCTAAGTAGTTAGAGTACGTAGGATTCCTTTAAGGGTTCCTTCAAAAGGTGCATGATGAAGGGTATCATAAGGGTTTAATGTAGGGGCCCTTAATAATTAGACTGGGTTCTTATGCCGATTTGCGCAGGCCGCGCTTGCAGTGTTTACAGTTGCCCAGTATACGAGCGCAGAAGTAGAAGGCAACAAGACTCTTCATGCCTCGTTCCAGAAATTCAAAAATTGCGAACCGAGAACCCTACGAGCTTGCCGCGCAAACCTGCTTTTGATTTCTTCTCCCCAGAAGTCCTCCGCTATAGTCCCTATCTCTTCAACCCTAACAAACCATAATACCGGTGTTCTAGAAGCCCGGAAGCCCTTACATCATAGATCTCCTACCCTCAAAACCGAAACACCTTGAAGCCCTAAGCACAAAAAATGGCAACTTGAAGCCCTAAACCCTAAACCCTAAACCCTAAACCCTTTATTTCAAAAACATAGCAACTTGAAGCCCTAAACCCTAAACCCTTTAGATCAAAAAATGCAACCTGAAGCCCTAAACCCTAAACCCTGAACCGTTTAGTTCAAAAGATTGGAAAGCAAGCCTGGAGGTCCTAAACCCTAAACCCTAAACCCTGGCAAAAGAAGCCTGGAGGTCCGCTTTCTCTCGGCCACTCGGCGGGCCTTCGCGGCGCAGCGGGTGGATGGTGCCGTGATCTGCTGGGGCGATGCAGGCTCAGGCTCGAAGTACGCGGTTCCTTTAAAGGAACCGTTAGGGTTTAGGGTTTAGGAGCCCTTGGGGGATCCCTTAACCAAGTGGGTCCATATATACTACTACTATGGAATTAGGGCCCCAAACCATAATAGGGATGGTCTTTTGGGACCTAATTCCATAATGATAGTGTATATGGACCCTCTAGGTAAGGGTTCTTTGAAGGGGTTCCTCAAAGGGTTTATAAGCCTCGAACTGAGTATGTTTCAGGTTTCCTAGAGTGGCTTCATAAGGTATTTACACGGGGTTTAGGTCAGGGCTCTTTTGAGGGTTGCTTTAAAGATTATGTGATGTGTCTACAATGCTTGTAAGTTCAGCTAGAGGGCTTCCGGTTCGATCTCTAAGAATAAGGATTCTACAACGGTCTTCGGCGAAGGGTCCATACTTGGCAACCGTTTATGCTACAGGGTTTTCGCAGGAGCCTAAGTGTATGCTATGCATAGTCTGACTGTAGCTTCAAAGAAGGCTCGCTCATATGTTGGGGAGATTAGTGCTTTTGGGTTCCGGGCATCACTGGCAAGTTGTTGCCCCTTCGCTCCAACCCAAACCTCGAGAGAGCTTCCAAATCGCTTTTTCCTTTATACCTATTTTGGTTCCAATATTAAAACCAAATCGTATGAACAAAGGGTATCCTTAATATTAAGGGGCTACTGGGGAACCTAGATACACCCGCACTTGAACCCTCACCCTCGAGGAACCCTGCACCCTGGCTCCGGTCCAGAAGCAAGCGAAGTGGCTTCAGAACTTAGCGTTTATTTAGAGCAGGAGATGCCAGGCGTTGAAGCGTCGAAGTAGGCCCACCTTAGCTGAAATTCCTTGGGTCCGAAATGTCTGTATCCCGGACCAGCAACCGTTCACCTTTTGTCGTAATTCATCCCAAAATATCATCAAAGTCCGGATTATCAAGCGTTGCCACTATACCTATAGACCCTCATTCTAGCTGCTAGCTACTTCCTTAAGACTCTGGGCTCTCAGATTTGGCTCTCCCTCCAAACGAAGCTGCAGTGGATCATACCCGCAACTCTCTTTACCTACAGTTTAGCAGCCCCCTAAACCCTAAACCCTAAACCCTAAACCCCTTAATTCGTAGGTAGAACCCATGAAAACTGTAGGGATTTCGAGTCCCAGGTACCTGTTCTGGTTTCAAGTGTACCTCAAAGCTTCGAGAAGGTTTAAGGCTTAACCCTAAACCCTAAACCCTAAACCCTAAACCCTAAACCTAAGGGCTACCAAGGGTTAGGGCTTAGGGTTCATAGGGCTTAAGCCCTGGATCCGATAAACCTTGATAGCCAGCCTTGTCACA